CAGTGTCCTTTCTCAACCACGAACTTTGCCAACCTTCTTTAAAGTTGTTTGTTGCTGTGCACATATTCTGCCACCATCGTTTACGCAAAACATGCAGCATCTTTGCTCTCATTCTTTCAAGTAATTTTGTTGCAGACTTTAGTAATTCGTATCACCCCGAGGATGTTGTATACAATGCCCCTTGTTTAGTCCACCTACATGATGATTTCTGACGGTTTGGGGTATTAGACAATTTTTCGGCATTTCCTCCTGAGTAGTTTCTACAAAATATTCGTAGTTACATCGATGGAACAGCGAACGTAGCCGCACAGGTGTGCAGGCACATTAATGGAGTACGTCTGCCTGAGTTGCCCACAGGTCCCATCTGTTGGACGACGATGAGGGAGTTCCATGGCCTTTGCAGTCACCACGCAATTCCAAAGCCATTTTACATAATGATTATGTCTTGTCTACTCAAACACTCAACACTGTGGTACTTGTCGCGATAGACCGTGCGAACTGACATCTGTTTCGGCCACTGGCATAGTGTACCATTCCTTTGCGGACTGCCAACATTGTTTTGGACCAGTCTCCTCTTCCTCGAACTTACTTATTTTTAAGGCATTCTTTCCGTCAAACAGAATTTCAGTTGCAACTCTCACTGAAATTATTTGAAAATATACCCCCCTTTAACCTTGATAATCGTTTTCTCCTAATTCCCTTGTTGCACAAAGTTTGAGAACAGCAAAGCTTTCGACTTCCCAATTTCTTAAAGTTTATAGTGCACTTTTCCGTTTTTGCTATTTGCACAGCTAGCATGTGCGGCTGTATATCGGACCACTACACACTTCTTAACTTTTGTTTTTGTGCATAAAGATGTGTGCAGTTGTTGAATTTGCTAATAATAAAAACGTGGTCTCGGTGGCCGAGGCCTGGATTTACAGTGCTAACTGTGTTGAGTGACCTAAAAACTCCAAGTAGCGTGACCAGCTGCTGGAGAATAACTTGAGGCCTCCAGCGGACACGAAAGCCTACGCTGTTCGAATGCTGAAGGACAGCCTCACTTTTGATAAAGCCCGACAGCTTATTAGAAAGGTTGAATTTACGGACGATCTATCAAGCTCGGAGTCTACTGAATTAGGTCGGGGCGTAAGGAAAAAGCAAGTGTTTGCATGCCATTAACATATCTTTGTAGGTATGCCCGCCAGCTCACCTCCGACTCAGATACCGAGAGCTAGGTGGTCACTGAACGATCTATACAAGAAAAGAGATTGACTGGTTGGCTGACGGCGCCACACATACTTCAGAGAAACCGCCGTGAAAAAAATCAACTTTAGATCCCGGAACAGCAGCGAAAACATACCTTGCTGGAGAGGGCGAAGTCAACCAACGCTATCAATGGAATATTAGTAAACAGGTTTAATAAATGTATACTTTAGGCCGTCATGGGAACTACGGACGTCTGACACAGGTTCAGAAAGATATGAAATGTCTCCAGAAGGACTGCTCTCAATTTTGGTAATGTACAAATAGAAAGAAAGTAGGCCAAATGGCGGAAAAAACTGCTGAACTTCAGGC